TTTCTGTAATAATGTAAAGCAGACATCAACAGGCAAGAGTACTACATTTGTATTTAATGAGTGAGATTGAACTGGTGTAACTTTCCTCAGGAGGTTTCTACTTTGTGTGCATCAATTCTAGAGAATCTTTCACAGAATCACAGAATCATCTAGGTTGGAAGAGACCTCCAAGATCACCGAGTCCAACCTCTGACCTAACACTAACAAGTCCTCCACTAAACCATATCACTGTCTTTAACCAGTAACATCCAAAATTCACCAGTATCTTCATAGCTCCATAGGCATTTAGCTTTTCTTCTTTTCCCTTCCCAACTTCAAGAAGTAAAGAGCAAAGAGGAGACAAGATGAAGTGCTCTCCACTGCAACAGCTTGTCCTTACAGCTGAGGATCTGCAAGACGTTTTGTGGCACTTCCACTATTAGAGCAGTTGAGAAGTCACTTTCAGCTCACAGAAATCAACATGAGTAAAACTGAACTAAGAAACTACTAACAGCAAAAAAAATTTTGTTGTTGCTGTTTTCCTTTCAGAAAGAAGTATAAAAGCATTTTCTGGAAAAAAAAAAAAAAAAAAAAAAATATATATATATATATATATATATATATATATATATATTACTTAAAGGAAACACTAAAACCAAACAAGGACACTAAACAATTATTTTTATCATTTAACAGCATCCTCTTATGCCTTTTAGTTCACTGACACTAGATGCTCATATTTTTATTCCACTTTTCCTGTATTTTAAGCCCTCAAACTGCAGCAGTTTTAGGGCTTTCTTAAGAGTTCTGGGCTTTTTTTCTCTCTTAAGAGTTCAGGGTTTTGCTGTTTTTTAATCACATTCTGAACTCTGCATTTACTGTCTTTCCTTGATCTCCCTTGCCTTTTGATGAGTACAGAAAACTTTGAACTATTCATGAAACACGGTAACAACAAAACTTCTGCAGGTCTTGGCAGCATCCCTGCATCATAGCTGTAACCAAATTATGCCTTTGGCTAGACGTGTATAACCTTACAGAAGAACAAGTCACATAATCACAAGTGTTAGAGGAACACAAAGATGAACCCCTGGAGAGTAGGTCCTGTGTGATGCACCTTGGGTCTAAAGAGTTCCAGAGGCAGATTTTACAGCTGAACCAACTGTAATGTTTCCAGGCATTAAAGCTACCCCTGCAAGAGTTCCTCGGGACCATGAAAAGTTAACCATTGATAGTTAAGGATATCTTCTTCACACCTTGTTATTAGCTAAAGTTACACTATCCACGCCCCATAACAATATAGCTGAGAGCAATGTAGTCTGCAAAGCATTAAAAAGGAAGCACTAGAAAAAGTTAGGCTGTCAGATCTCACATTAGGTTTCCAGGTTTGGAGATTAGATAGATTGATTTCAGATTTAGAAAGTAAGCATCTTAGACATATAATCCATGAAACACATCAAACATCAGATGTTCCACTGCTATTTTAAACACCATTTTCAAAAAGTCACTTAAGTCATTGGTTTTAAGTGCATGAATCCATCAGGCTTCCCTTTCAATTGTGGATGTTCAGAACACTTCAAGTGCTGATTCAGGCTTGTGGGCATAGTTCTAACAGCCAGAAAAGTATTAATACCACTAGAGTGTAAATCTAGTTCTGTGCCTCATTCAAAGTTACTGAGACAATAAACATTCAGACTTCTCTAAAATGCTAAGATGAATATCAAGCGTGTATACTGAAACCATCCAGCAAGTGAACCAAAAGCCATAACCAAACATTTTATTTTTATATACTTTTATGTTTGAGAAAATGTGGTAGGAGGACAAAGCCTGTACATGTGTGCAGTTCTATCAGCTGCATATACAAGTTCCTGTGTACATGACAGTTCCGGGGAGTATTCCCCTTCAAAGACTCTTCCTTAGGTCTGAACACCAGCTTCACCATGGTGTTCCACTGAATTATGACAAGGCAGTTTACATCTTCAGCAGTGTTACCCAAACACAAGGCAAGTAAATGATCAAGAAGTCAAATTTCAGTTAATAATAATAAACTGAAAATTCTTTCTAACAGATCATCCCCCCTCAAGAAAAGGATAATATTCTCTTTCTCCCCCCACCACAAATATTTTTCAGACATACAATGTGTCAACAAAACTAAAGCGTGCTATAGAATCAATTCCAAACTTGTAATATCCAGCACTCTCTCTGGGTCTGTGCTTGGCAGTTAGCCCCTATATGTCTTTTCTCATCATGTTAAAGGTGCAAGATTCAGGACAAATGAACCATACTTTACACTACTTTCCACAAAGGCAAGCACAGACACAGTGTCCTGTATGAAGCAAGAGAGATCATTTAAATCTGTGGAAATATTGTAACAAGACAACTTGGCATACCAATACAGATAGTAATATATCTTATATCCGCAAATACATTATTCAACATATTTATTCCACTTAACATCTATTTGAAGAGTCTTTAGTAACCCTGAATAATTTGAAACCATAACAACCAGTAAAAAAAACCCTGAACAGGGTTAAAGGTTCAAATAAGTAACTCTTAAAAGGTCATTTCCTCGTATCTTGCTATAGCTGCAGCTCTTAGTTTTCATCCCTAGCAGAGGAAACAATTTTCCCAACCCCAGATACTGCAGGTTAATGCTCTGACATCGGCTCTCACCAGTTCATAGTTTGGTCATTACTCAAACATTCAATATATAACACTGATGAGTTAAACATCCTATCACCTACTTTGATTTATTTCTTTCAATTCTCTGGGAGTTTTATTTATAACTACAGGGCTGGGTTTGGTGGTGCCAATAGATTCAGCCCAGGGAATCTATATAATAGCCAAATAGCTTAGATCATTATACAGTATTTCAGTATATTGATTAGAATACCTATAGAATAACTAAAGACAAAACTAGTAATCTTACTGAGAAAAATAACTACAAGGGACCAGGTCTAGCTTAAGCAAACAATATAGTTTCAGCATTGCTGAAGAGAACATGAGCAGTCTAAAAAATATTTTTTTTCCAGTTATTTTCTTTAAGTTGGTATTTTTTGCGGTCAATAAAAATATTAATAAAATTTATTTCTCACTTTTATCATTTTTATGTACTGACACAGTATTATCTATTCTGTTCTCAAGACATAGGGGGTGATGCTGGACCAATAAAAGGTACAACTGCACTTTCTTTTCATGTCTTCTGAATTTCCAGAATATCTGTCCACACAGATCACAGACTGGTACTATATCACATAACACTAATTCTAAATATTTAATCCTGTCTTCTACACATTGGCCAAGGCAAAACAAACACCAAAAAAAATCCTCTTTGATAGCAAAATTTTATATACTATATTTTATATAAGCATTCTGTCCCTCTCCACTTCAACGTACGCTATCAAATCATTCTGGCCATTATTTTATATTGAACAGATGGTATTATGAGATTTTTGATAAAGAACAACAATCACCCAGCAAGGGTTGCAAAGGGGTCGGTGAAACCAAGATTAACAATTGATTAGCTTTAATGGACCGTGACAGTAATAAACAACAGAGCTCTACACAAAGATTTGATTGTCCTGTTAATGCTGCTGACACAAAATGGCTTTTAACTTGGCTTCCTGAAAGTGTTAATATCTTCAAAGCCTCAGCAAATGAAGGACTTTATCAAAGTGAGAACTATCCTGCAGAGAAGAAGCACTTACTGTAGGTCTCAAAAAAAAAAAAAAAAATTCTATAAAGTGTTTCTGATTTTTTCCAGACAATAGCTCCTATTTCTTCAAGGTACAGTTCAGAAAATAAAATACAGCACACCTCTAAAAGGCTTGAACGTAGCAGAGCTCTAAAGCATTTGAATACAGAAGTCAGCATTCATTGAGCACAACAATAATATGAATAATCACTTCCAATGCTCTCATTTTATCTTTACTATAACTTTTAGTGACAGAGCTCAGCATCACAACCTGCTAAATTGATTTTTTTTATCCTTATCTCTTAAAAGTTCACTCATTTTTCTTTCTCTTTTTCTTTTTCTTTTTCCTTTTTTTTTCTTTTTCTTTTTCTTTTTTTCCTGCACAGAAATTGGTTACTTGTATCAACTTTTCATTACAAGAAAATGGAAAATGTTTTGTGATTACTGGAAGTAACCAAGGTAACTTCTGAAAACAAAACTTACAGTTCTACGTATTCCTTAGCTGAATGTATAGGAAAGCCTGCTGGAAACGTCTCTGTTTCCCTTAATGCTTAAGCTTAGAATTTAAATGGACACATGGCTAATATTCACAGAAAGATTTAAAATTAATTCTAGATAGCTGAAGTCAAAGTAAATAAAACTCCCCCTAACATGGTGTTCAGGAAACCAAAGATAAAGGAATTCAAAGGTAAGATGTTACACATTTAACTATTGAGTAACACTTTCTGTCAAATTTCCCATTATTAGATGGGGATTAGATCACTTGCTTTTTTAAATTAATCTGTTTTTTAACTACACCCTTTATTTAAGCAAAGATTTTCTTTTTAATCATTTTTAACTAATTTTCAACTAATGGTCTGGCTCTAAGGGCTTCTAGGTAAAAGAGAAAAAAAAGAGAACAGTGTCTGCTTTAGACACAGATCCGAAGGCAAACCATTTGCTCAAATCAAGGTCAGGCTAATCCATCCCCGTGGGTCCCACCCCATCTGCAAATTCAACTCTTCTACTGAACAATTCCTTGCCAGTGCACTGTAACGATGAAACATGCTGCTAATTACTGAGTTTAAATATCTTGACCTAGGCAGACATGCAAAGAATTTAAATGAAATCTCTAAAAGAGTAAAATCCATGAACCAGGTCTCTCACCACACACATCCTGAACGTGTAACCTGTCAAAATACTGAGCCAGCCTTCGTGAATTCCATCTTCTGTAATCAGCATCCTTCTATTACTCACAGACTTGGCCTTCTACAGCAGTTCTTCACTTAAGCTATTGTATAAATCCATACTCTTATGACAAATATTGAAGAAATCTATTATCAGTAGTTACCTGCAAATCAGCATCAAACTCATGTTTCAGGTAAGCATCTTCTGCAGCTTCAACAAGACGCTGGGAAAAAAAAAAAAAAAAAAAAAAAAAGTTTATTTTTTGAAGTAATAAATAGTATGTTAAATCCAGGAGTTTCTTCCAGTATTACAAAAAGAAAATAATTGTTTGAGAACCGTGTAATTCATCATCTCCACATGATATCTGCTATAATATTTCATTAATTCAGAAAAATAAATAAATAGAAATAACCTAACCACAGTTTAAAAAAAAAAGGATCAGAGTTTTTAAATCCTCAGCATCCATGCTTGGTGGGACAAAATTTTCAGAAGAGATCAACTACTAATTAATAAAGATAAAAATACAGATCATTTGCTCATTTTTTCCCCAACACAAGTGCTCAGCATCCTGCAGCTCTCACTCAGACACTGATTTTTAAAAAACACAAAATCACGTCAAGAGGCTTTAACACTCTGGACTTCATTTTGCATATAGATTCCCTTTGCAAATCTTTCTTAAAATTAAAATGAGAAGTATTTCCTAATAATGCTCTTGACTGAAAGCAACTTAAATAAAATGGAATTTCTTAATAATAAATCAAATATGAAAGATTAGAAAAACAGATGTGAGGTTCATTTACCTAGCAGATTTAAAGTGTTGTGCATACTACTTCAACATGGTGTATAAACACAACAAGAACTGTCTTCTATTACGGAAGTAATATTTACCAAATGACAGTAATTCAGTAGTACTTTTTCCTCCTTATACTAAGAATTCTCTGTTGTGTTCCTTACTACTATTATCTGAAGGACAAAATGAGGTTTATACTAGGACACAGCTACTTGAAAACTAATTCACGTGGGGGTTTGCTGCAGACATTCTCTTCTGAAAAGAGATTACATCCTTTCCAGGATGTTTTACATAGGGTTTGTTACAGCTCTGAGTATTTCAACTCTAAACGCAACTCTTCCTGTGTTTTATTTAAACTAACTGGACATTCATGTATGTACAACACAAAATCAATCAGAGCATGAACTGTCACAGAATATTTTGATCCATCCTTATTCTTTTTTTTGTTTGTTTTCGTTTTTTGGTATATCGGATACTGGTATGTATATTCATTTATTTTTTTTTTTTTTAATCGCAAAGCAAGTGAACTCAAGGCTCTCATTCATGTCACTTAATGGACAGCTGTGCACACTTCTGCTTCCTGTTTCAAGACGACCCCTTTATCAAGTCTTCGGATATAAATCAAAAGGGAATCAGAATTCCTATCAATTGCTATAAAATTTACTATAATGAAAACTATGAAAAATATTTCTGGTTGCCAATTCAGAACAAATGGTTCAACAAAAAACTGAGTTTAAAGCAGAGCCTCATTGGTTCCATTTGCGTTCACCAGGGTGTGCAGAGCCACAGCACATCACAGTCTTTCCTCCCACATCTGTCTCATCATATGGCTTGCAAACCCTCCGTCCTCTGCTGGGCTCCTCCAGCACCCTGCTCAGCAGCTCCCAGCAGGAAGGCTGTCCCACCTTTTCCTTCATTCCTTACTCCCATACCAGGGAAGCCAAACCAGAACTGAACTGAAATGCATACTAGCTCACCTTCCTGCAGGCAGCTAAAAGTAAGCAAAGCATCATGACAGGTTGCCTGAAGGCAAGCCATGAGAAAATATTTCAAATAAAGTGTGAAAATCTATGGAATTGTTTCGACTGCTCCTGTACTGTATGGATAGTAGCAAAAATGCAACTTGTAATCTTTTTTTTTTTTTTTCATTTAGAATCAAAAAAGTCCAAACTATTTTGGTAGGAAAGCCTGGGAACCATGAGGATTAAACAATTGAATAATTTCTGAAGCTCATCTTCAGTGTGTTAGTGACCTGTTGATGCTGTTTTACAAATGTAAACATCATTCCTTAATTATGAAGAAGGCACTTAATGTAATATAACTACTCTAATTCAATGCATTTCTGGAGATGTGTACCCCTTTATATCAAAACCATACTCATATTACTACTCTGCACACGTAATACAAAAGATCATGACTGATGGGTATTTCCAAGTGAAACATAAACATAAATAAATAAATAAAGTGAGGAAAAAGAAGAGCCAAAAAAAAATCTTAATACAGAAAAGAATACATGGAAAAGAGAAAAGTTTTTTCTTACTGTGCTGAAACACTTAGTCAACAGAAGAAAAAATATGACAGTATTTCATGAGATATCAATACCTAGTGGGCTAGAAAAATAATTCATAGTTTCTTATAAAGTTTGCATTGATCCCTATGTGTTTCAATTACATTTTTGCCTTAGTGAGGTAAATTTAATCCAAAATTTATCCCTCCATGTTAGAAATAGCTAGAGAAACATAAGATGGGCAATAGTAGAAACATCTGGTAAGGAGGGCAGCACTGAAATGAAAAGTACGAACTGATACTATATTGATTTTTCATTAAAATGTCAGTTGTATTTGTTCTTTCAAAGAAAAAAAAAAAAAAGAAGTTATATGTACATCTCAACACTCTTTCAATGCAATATTCTCTATAGGAAACAGAACAACAAAAAAGCGATCTACAGAAACATTTCCTGGGAGAAGCAGACACAAATGCTTCATCCTTAAAAATCTAATAGGAAAAATTAAATTTAGGTACACTGAATGTAGATAACACAAGCAGATACTACATTTTCTGTGTAATAGTCCCTAACCACAGGGTTTGCTTTAACTATCTCAGCACCATCAGAAAGGAGACTGTGAGAAATCTAGGACAGCTACAGAACAGGTAAACTACTAAGAAGCTGAAGTCCACAAAATTACACATTAGTGGATATACACAGATGATATCAGAATGAATTTTTTTTTGGAGGAGGAGGGGGCTATTTTGCCTTTTTTTTTTTTCTTTTCATGCAGAAGTTCCCAAAGGGATGAAGCATGATGGAAGAAATTCATTAAAGCTTGGGAGACAGAAACATGAAAAATACGTCATACTGCAATGCTCCTTTTTTTTTTTTTTTTTTTGAGGCCAACAAAACAATAACCCTTTAAAATATTTTAATGACTGAGCAGTTATCTAGCAATGATTGCTCAACACTTTGCATGATTATTGATCCTAATTTTATACTTTATAATGACACTCTTAATACAAATGCCAATATATTTTCATTAGAGTAAACATGCTCTAAAATCATTGCTGTAACAAATAAATTTTCACCAAGCTGTGGTTATCCTGAAGGGAGTTGTGAGTTATCTATATATTTTACATGGAATGAATTACCAATGCTCAATGAGCTATTGTTGGAGTTAAACCTTTTAAGACTTTTTTTTAGGAGCATTTAGCTCTACATGTTCGCAACATGGATGCACACAGAAGTCCAGGGCAGCATACAATCTTTGGATAAAGAACAATTTCCACATTCTATGGCACTTCAACTGAAGCTCCCCTTGTTAAGGAACTAATCCTTGTAATTTTTCAAATATGCATAAATTTGAGAAAGATTAACTGACTTAGTTAGCATACCAAAATGAAGCATGGATACAAACAGGGCATGAACCAGGGAAGGGTAATAAACTCACACCCTCAAAAGAAATACCAAAACAGTCACCAAAATCAAAAGCCAACGTTGGATATTTTTAGTAGTATCACGGTTAATGTAGAGAAGGCTGAGAGAATAAATATTTTTTTCTTCTCAATAACATAAAAAAAAAAATCCACCAAGCCACTTAAGATTAGGATAATTTTTTGACAAATATTTTAAGTTCAGTAAACTGATATTCCCAGATAAACTCTCATTCATGTTAGGTTCTTGTAGAGCCAACAATAAAAAATACTGAATGAAACAGAATAGATAAGGGAAAAACAGAATCCAACAGAAACTGGGTAAGATGGATCACATGGACAGAAAAAGTGAAAATAAATGCAGAGGAAAATAATTTTTAGGAAAAACAAGAAGAAAATAAAGCACAGGGTATCAATTTTAGCTTCTGAGAAGATATCTACTGTTTCCATGTTTCTTGTAAGGCTTTCAGCTCATTTTTCTTTAACTGTCCTTCATTAGAATTACATTTCCAGTTAGAATTAACAAGCAAAACAGAGCCTGAAACAGTTTGTGAGTTCCTGAACCACAGAATGTCACTAAACCATATCCATAAATCCTGCCTGATGTTATATTCTTCTCTCTCTTCAGTTATCAAATCTTGAAGAAACACATTTATATTTGATAGTTTCCATTCTCTTTTTTTGAAGGTAAACCAATTGCCACACATAAAACCAGAAATGCTACTAGAAATTGCTCTCTTCTCAAAACCAAACAGTTACAAATTTCAGAAAAGAACAGAAGACTGCTCTGCCTTAGTATCAGTACCAAGCTGGTTCTAGTTATGATTATTTGTCAATAACATAAATAGTTTATATTCCATAACACTAATGTGATGAAATTTCTTTTCAAAACAGCCAAAACTGCTATACTGGAATGTACCTAAACACAACACTATGAAGTAACAGAAAATGAAAGCTCTGCTCTCTCCACAGTAGATGCTCCTTTGTTTTGTCCCAGCCTCACTGCTAACAAAGCAGCTAAGAAGCACAGCTTCAGTTCTGCGTGTTAAAACGCCACCATGTCAGCTGCCCTTCTACTTGCACATTATTGCCAAACTCTCTAGACTATGCCTCAACATTTCTTTCAGTACATTATGTGAATCTTGCCAGTTTGAGTTGTTACATCTGCTCTGTGCTACGCATTGCACAATCATCATTTTGGGTCTATAACAATTTCATCCAGGATACTTCAGGCAAGGTTCAGTCAAGGGCCACTGATTCTGGCCCTGCTCTGAACAGTAGGCCATAACCATCAAAAAAAAAAAACTTTTGTAGACAAACCCATAGGAAGCTCTTCTATTCTAGCATCTCAATAAATTCAATTACAACTAACAGGAAAAAAAAAAAAAGCCTCAACCCAAACTGTAATCTTTCATCTTTTCCCCATGGCATTAGATCTGTTGGAGATTCACCACCCACCCAAATCTTGTATACTTCTTCACAGTTGGTTTGAGATGTGGTTTGTAGAT